GTGGCAACAACAAACAGACCGGGCCTAGACTGACAGGAGGAAGAGCCTTCCAGAGACGAGGTAGTAGTCGGCAGGAAAATTGAGCTTAAGTTGCAATTAAGCAATTGCCCGGACGCTTGGGTTGATGTGGAAACCAGCCGATGCCGATGCCCATGCTCCCTCCCTTTTGGTCGGGCTTATAGCATCCAGCAAACTGGCAAGTGGCTGCTAACTTGGCCAACCCCCAGTCGCAAATAATGCAAAATTGCAATGAAATGTGGCCAGCTGCAGCAGCACGAGGTGAACTCTACCATGGGAGACCCTCCTCGTTCTTTTCTATTTATGTGCAGTTGCTTTCCAATCACCAGGCAGCAAACTTAATACAATATTTAAGCCGCAAACGTAGCACAATGTAAACCAAAGTAATCTCGAACTCAGCTCCGGCTTGGCCTGGCTTTTTCTGTGGCAAGTGGCACGACTTGCGGCCAACTGCAGAAACCAAGGAAGCGCTCCAAGGAAAACCAAAACCGAGTGGAAAAAAATACAAAAAAAGGAGAAAAAAAAACGACAGAGAGAGAGAAAGTGGAAAAACAATTTCAGCATTGAGGCAACTTCGCGTTTTTTAAGTGGAAAACTTTGGTCCTTATATTTGGCCATGGGGCCTTCTGGCTGCAATGAAGCTGAAAGTGTGCCTCAAATGCAGTTCAAATGTGTCCGGAATAGTCGCATTTGCCAGAGATTTGTTCTGATTTACAGGCGGAAAGAAATCATAATAAAATCGTGACATATTTTTTATCCAAGCAATTTTTCTCAGTATATAATTAGTCTGGCCACAAAATCAATGAAACTGCAACAGCGCCAGAAATCAATTCAATAGAGTTTAAGCTTTAATGTGCTGCCTGCAGAGCCATAAAGTTGAGAGGATTGTCGGCTGTTGTCCAATGAATTTCAAATTACCAATAAACAATTGAATGAGCAGCGAGAATATATATATATTCACACACAGACACACCACATACACACGCATGGACAGACACGCATACAAATGCTAATCAATGCTGCTTTATGCTTTATGCTTTCTGCTTTATTTGCGTTGCTCATACGCAGTGTGGGCCTCATCGCTAATCCTGGCACGCAGCATCAATAAGTCAAACACGTCAATGGCAAGCAGTGCGAATCAGGGGAGAATGCGAAACAAACAATGAAGAAGCAACAACACATCAATAATACAACAACAACAACAAAAACAACAATAACCACTGGCATTGAAGAGACAAAAGGCAACAATTTATTGTTGCTCAATGTCGCATTTATCATCACTTTATGCTACTTAATCGGCGCCCTCGTCCCGCTCCTTTTGAGCTCGACTTCCGCCGTCGAAGATGATTTCAATGTTTACTCTCGTCTCGTCCTGGGCTTTTTGTTTGCTTATTGTTTTTCGACACACATCCCCGCGCACACAGAGCACTTTTGCAGCAGTCTTTTTATGGTTTATGGCGCCATTGAATTTTTCGTTTGTTTTCTTATTAAATTATAATTTATATGTGTAGTCGCATCAGCCAAGGCCAGAGTCACAGACACAGACACATAGCACAGGCACTTTGTCAATTGTTTAATAGAAAACAAAGGAGATGTGACTCCTGAGAAGGAAAAACCAGGACCCGAGGAGGGTGGGGGGCCAGGACATTTTGTTTGTTATTTATACATGCGCACGGCGTACTCAATTACGAGTTCGAATGGCAAACAAGTTTCGGGTGTTTGCTTGTTTGCAGTTCAGAACGTGATGAAAACTGCGATAGTAATATATTAAAGATGGCAGATATCGCATGGCTCCTGAATCACTTACGATGGCGAAGAGATATCTCTACAAAAAGGCCAATGGTCTAGGTCACACTCCTCTACCCACCTGTATTACACCGAGAAAAATATAGAAATAGATGAATCTCTTTAGAAATATTGTTTCTTTATGGTTTAGGAACTAAATTTGTTTAGGTTTTCCGAACTAAAATGATCAAATTATTGCAGAATTATTTCAAAAGTCATAATAGCATGGCATATTTCATATTGCTACCTTATTACATAAATATGATTTCATTTTGTATTGAATAGAATTCTCCCCTTTTGCGGGTTTGACTATCTTTTTAATGCTTTTTGTTAACATGGTTAAAAAAATTATCATCTCCCATCATGGCAACCACCGATGCAAATGTTATTATCTAAAAAGCATTCACAGTTAATCCACTTGAATAGAGCAATTGCAATATAAGGATAAACTCTCCCTCAGCAATTCCAAACTAATTCAACTTCACTAAATGCATGTGCACATGAATCGGCTGCAAATGGCAAAAATAAATGCACTGATATCCAACCTGCAAAACTATTCGCATAATTAATTGCATGGCATAGTTGATTATAGATTTTATTTTGGTTTTTGCATTTAACAGAGAGCTCTGCAGGGAGCATAAAAAAAATAAATAAAAGCACAGCACATTGCATTCGAATTCATTAAATTTGCATACAACTATTTAAGCATATTTGAAACATTTTATGCGTATGATTCATTGGTTTGATAGCCAAAATTTTAATAGCAAATTAAATTGCCGTTGGGCTTTAACTAATTTGCACTCCAATGATATCGGCGAACAATAATAAACAGCCGCACAGCATCAGTTGGTGGATTTTCCATTTCGCGGCTTCCAACACACATAATAACATGGGGAAAAAGCTTTGAATATTGAATATCAATATGCAAAAAGGGAATCGACTGTGAGGGATCCTCTATCAAGTTTTAAATTTATAACTCAGGGAATTAAGCATATATCTAACATTAAATTGAAATCTAGTTTTGCCTTTCCTCAGATTTTAATTTGAAACACATTAAACTTCAATGCCAAAGAGGTCTAGCATGCCCTGCTACCTTATTTAATACCTCGCTTATAAAAAATCCAAATCTAAATGGTAAATATTTGGCAAATCAATTTAATTTCGCGCTCGAAATTGTTTGGTTTCTTTTTTGTTGTTTTTTATAAATATTTTAATTAACTGCCAAATGTAATAATTGCCGAATGAGTTGGCCCAAATACATTTGGGCAATGACAGCTGCTGCCGGCGCTTGGAAACGCTGGGATTTTTATTTTAATTAAATCCGCATCGGCGGCGGCGGTTAACCCACAAAAAGATAAGCCCCAAGCTGGCGCTGACATTAATCATTTCACCTTTCAAATGCATTCTCATTAGGCGACCACCAAATTGAAACTTCATTTGATGCAAAAGGGAATCAGATCTTCGTGTGCCCCCGGGACTTTGGCTCATTAATAACCGACAGGACGACATAATTCTTTCTCTTCGCCCGCGTGTATATCCTTTTCTTCGCCGTCGCCTCGGGGTTTCCATGGATAATAAGGATGTGGCAAAACAATGACAGGACGGCTGGACTGTATTATGTACAGATGTACGCGAGATGTGATAAGCCGAGTTAAATATTGACCAACTAACGACTGACTTACATTAATGCCCGGGAACTTTTCCAATTAAATCTGGGGAAAGTTCGTTCACTCCATGTGCCATGCGAATAGGAAACAAGGAAAGTTCTAATGAGTTTATTAATCAGCGATAAATTTGGCCAGCATATGCAACGCAGTTTGTGCCGCCAAAGTTAGAATTGAAGACGTCCCGCTAAGTTGTCATAATTCGTAATCAGAGAAGTCTGCAAAAGAAATCTACTTGTATAGAAAAACGAGAAGGAAATAGTAATCACTAAAGAAAGAAAACACTACCTCGGTTTGCACAAAGAAGGAAAAAAAACAAACAAAGAAAATAAAACCAATATATTATTTTTTGCTACCTTTAATGTTACTTTAAGATAAAAAAAAACGATATTGAAATGAAAATGTATAATTTATTTACATCCCATTTTAGTATCCTAAATTCTGTAAATACTTTCGAATGAAACAAGAAAGAAACCTAACTTTGGGGAGCAGAAGTTTATATACCTCTGTAGTTTGGAATTAAATTTTATAAACGAACCGGAAATCTATTAAAACAAAGCTTAAAATATTCGCATTCTTTGAATCGATATTTTTAAATGCAAATTTCTTCCACAAATCAAATTTTAAAAAACTCATAACTATGCCAAAAAAGCATTAATTTCAAATTGGAATCTGTCCTATGTTAGTTTTAAATCTGCTTACTTACTAGATTGATTCAGCTTTCGATGCTGATCAGGAATATATATGATATATAGGGTCGGAAATGACTTCTTTAACGTTGCATAATTCTGACTGAAATTATTGTAACTTGTAAGGGCATTCAAAGAGCATCATAATACATATGATATTTTTTTTCTGTGTGTATTGGAAAGGGAACTAAATAAACATCTGCCTTAAGGCCAAGGACGATGGCAGCGTCTGTAAGTCATCGCGTGGAAAAAGGGCTGGGATTTGCTGGCTAATTAATGTGCAAAGTGTCAATTAATCAATCAGTCGGCCGATCAATCCTGCCGGCAAGCTCAGACGGTCCAAACGAAATCCGAATGGCAGCCAGAATGCCAGTTAGAGACAGCCAGTCCCGGCAAATTCCCTCTTTTGGCCGTATTGACAGGATAAACTCAACAAGCTGTCAGAGCTGGCCAAGGCAAATAGCCGGCGACAAAGGCTCAACGGACGACGGCTTTGCAAACATAAACCCATCCGCCAAAGGACAGGCCCAGAAAAATAAGAAAATTTCATCAAACGGCAGTGGAAAACGTTTTGCCGGAAAGCTCATTTAATCAACCGTTGCCTGGCAACTCCGCGCCATGATTGTAAGCACACATCCAAAAGAGGTGCGGCAAAGGGGGTTAATGGCAAAAAGGCAAATGCCAGCTAATTATTATGACAAATATCAAACTTCCGTTTGGTTGCGGGTGCGGCTAATGCTGTGTCAAAGGCTTAACTACTTAACGAAATGAATTGAATCGAAAACCTGTCGTCATTATTATCAGTTGGATTTAAATTGTAATAAATCGAGGGTCTTTAAGCGCTTTAAGAATATTGATTTTATTTTACTAAATTTCACTCTCTTCGTTGGCCGAGATAATAAAGCAAACCTTCTTTTCATCTTTGCACGGTGGCTTTTCCATTTCCGTATCGCGGAGGAAACACTCAACGATGAAGGAACACCCAAGCAATAACATGTTAACCACATGGGTGATTAGCAGCTTATCCAGAGAACTCCTTACATCGCCGTATTTTCCTCTATTTCGGACAAAATAACAGAAATACAGCCCCATGACATTACTGATGAGCAGGAGGCAGGTGAATGTCGATCTGATATTGTGCCGGACGAAGGGCACCAAAGCGTACAGGCTCGAGATGACGATCAGTGATGGAAGCACAATCCTCAGGATGATCAGACAGGCGGGAATAAATATGGCAAAGTTGGCATAAAATAGACGAGCAGTGTTCGGTTTGAAAATAAAGGAGGCTATCCAATGTCCAGCCAAGTTAAAGCTTACATAGAAGTACAGGAAGATGGCGAAGCCAAATCTATAAGACAGCTTCAAATTTTGTAATGGCTTGTGATCCCTCCTTACGGCATCAGATCGTTTGGCGTCCCTATACAGCTGGAGGCTAAAAAGCAGTTCAGTGACTAGCATTTGGATAGCCAAGGAACCCCATCGTTCGCAGAGCAGGGCATGTAATGTGATCATATTCATGGTAATCAGTTCGAGTCTTCTTTTGGCTGTCTTATTGGATTCATCGCAATACCGCACTGACAGGAAGCTATAGACCAAGAAGAACCAGCTTATGGCAGTAACGTAGCCCGGAACCATCTCTCTCAAATCATATCTACGGATTCCGTAGGCTCCAACCACCAAGGTGACTGCGTTAATGGCCCAAACACGTGAACTAATCTTATGTCGCAAAACGAGAGGACGTACCAGAGCCACCAGCATTCCCATGTACAGCACATATGAACTTTTTAGGAATCTAGGTGCGAAAGCACTCTCCGGATTTTGTGAAATAAACAGAGAGCCACTGACTATGAACACTAGACTTATCCACAGGAAAAACTTTATCGAGGGCTTCCGAAACAGACGATGATTGTGCAGAAGTGCCGATAGTCCATATAGCTCAGCCAAATGTCTGTATTCAAATGACATTAAAATTATTAGAACTCCCGGCAGCACTGTTGAGATGACGTTCATGAGAGGTGCCTTAACCAAGTCGCCTTTAGCGGCACGTTCAGCTTGGGCCATAATCAGCAAACAAGTTGGTAACAAAAGACAGACCGATGTGAAGCACGGCACCTTTTGCAAGATCAACAGAAGAACTTGAATGATTCCGAGGACAGACAGCAAGACCGTGGATAAGGTGGCGAATCCCTTTCGTTTATTTTCCGTGGCTATCCTTGTTAGTTGCAGAAGTAGGCAATATATCCATACCAAGTAGGAGATCGTAGTGGCCACCAGGAGAGGAGTTTGGTAATATCCCTGGTAGTATTTCAAGCACTTTTGAGCCAATTTTATAATTCTCTGACACTCTTCCATGGCCTCTTGACTGCGTCCCTGAGAAACCAAAGACTTGAAGTTGTCCTTGTAGGCAGCAATTTGCTTCAAGTCCAGCCCCTTGAATGTGGGCAGCCATTTGTGGAAAAGAGCGCGTTTATTACGGCTAATTACGATCTCTGCCTGATCCAGGATCTGCAAGGCATTTAGATGGAAAGCCATAGTTTCGTACTCGATGCTCACATTGAGGTATCCCACTGGCATCATGGCTATGTTATTCATTGGAGGTGGAAGACCTATAAGTGCCGACATTAGTGGCGCCAGCTGAATCTGTTTCACCACAGATATATTGTTCTTGGTGGGAAATCCGGCATTCGGACCGACTGTTCGTTTCACCCCGGCACCCCACATAAACAAAGGCGTTTCTATTTCTTTACGTGAGGCACCGCCGTGCATTCCTAAAAAATAAGAGGCTCACAAAATAAATACGATTTATGGGATATAAAATAATAAAACATACCAGTATCATCCATGCCGTGATCGGAGGTCATCAGATAGGCCGTTCGGCTGTCGTTGAAGACTTCCTCAAAGAATTCATAGGTCGTACGAATGCCTTTCTGAGTGTGCAGGAGCTGCTGATCGAACTCAGGGCTCAATGGGGTGTAGCGATGAGCCCATGCATCCATATCCGCCAAGTAGACAAAGAACACAACACCCTTAAGATTCCGCACTTCCCGGACGTTGTCGCTCCTGGCCAGGAACTCTTCCACTTCCTTAAAGACCCAAGCATCGAATTGTAATTTTTTCCCGTATCCCACCGAGAACCGCAGCGGCGCTCCACCGTGTGGAAGATATATGAACACCATCTCCACAAATCTATGAATCCAGCCAATGGCCGTGCGACTGCGGTTGAAGACGGTATCATAGTAAACAGGAACATAGCGGAAGTTGACCAACGCAGCTGTTGGATCTTGCCTCAGCCCACCGAAGATGGCGATGTGTCCAGTGGCGGTCTGTGTAGGTGCCAAGGAGCGGGAGATTGCTATACGACCTTGAGTCTGGTATAAGTCACGTAGATCCGGCACCGCACTTCCGTTTTTCGCTAGGAAGGAATCCGCCCGCAAGCCATCGGTCAGGAATACAACCAAACGATCTGCTGGCGGCTCAAAGCCCATCTCACGCATTGTCTTCTGGGGCACGAGTCCTGGTAAGATGGTCGATGAGAAGTATGTGGTCATTATGGAGGCCAGCAGGAGAAGGTGAACTACCAGAGCCCGCAGTCTCCACATTTTGTGCAGCAGAAAATTACATGTGTTATAATTTGTTTCTGTTTTGTGTTAACTGTAGAGGTCTGTCAAGTATAATAATATGATATTGACTTTAACGTCAAAATCATCTGCAAATATTCTATACTGCGAACAACAATGGTATCATTCTATTAAGCACATTCATGGAAAGGAAAGTTACAAATGAACCTGAAGTTTAAATTAAATCTTGAAAGTAAAATAATTATTGAATTCCGGTGGTACTTTATAGGAGAGTAATATATATGCTTACTGAATGTTTAAGCTACAAAAATTACAAAATATATTTGGTTGTTTTGATTTGAGAGGCATTTTACGTTACAAATTTCAATTTATGTAGCATTTGGGAGCATTAATATACATATGACCCAAGTTTTGGCTCCAATAAATCTAAAATAAAATGTTGGAATGCTGAATGATTGTTTAAGAGCAGATCTAAGATAGTTAATGGAACAGCTGGAAAATGTAAACCGCCATGCTATTATTACCATTGTTCGATTAATACTATGCAGATGATCTTTTAAATGCTTCAAAAATAATCAACTTTATTTAAACTAAATGTGACTCTCTTCGTCGGCCGAGGTAAAGCGAACATGTTTTTCTTCTTTGCTCGGTGGCTTTTCCATTTCCGTATCGCGGAGGAAACCCTGAACGATGCAGGAGCATCCCAGTAGCAACAGGTTAACCACATGGGTGACAAGCAGCTTATCCAGAGAGTCCCTTACGGTTTCATAATCACCCTTATTATTGACAAAGTAACAGAAGTACAGCCCCATGACGTTATTGATAAGCAGGAGGGAGGTGAATGTCGATCTGATATTGTGCCGGACGAAGGGAATCAAAGCGTACAAGCTCGAGATTACGATCAGCGTTGGAATAACGATCTTCAGTAGGATCAGGCAGCCGGGGATTAATATGGTATATTGGCCATAAAACAGTCGGGCCGTATTCGGTCGGAATATAAATGATTCTATCCAATTTCCAGCCAGCGTGAAGCTCACATAGAAGTACAGGACGATGGCGAAACCATATCTATAGGACTGCTTCAGATGTTGTAGGGGCTTTCGATCCCCAACGCTGTCATCTGGTTCATCATTCTCCTTCGAGTCATTATAATGCTGGAGGCCAAAGAGTATTTCGGTGGTTAGGAGTTGGGTAGCCCAAGAACCCCACCTTTGGCAGAGCATGGCGTGCAATGTGATCATATTCATGATAATCAGTTCAAGTCTTCTTATAGCTGCCTTATTGGATGCATCGCAGTATCTAATTGACAGGAATGCGTACACTAAAAAGAACCAGGAAGTGGCTTTTACGTAATCCGGAACCACCTCTTTGGAGACATATTTCTTAATTCCGTAGGCTCCAGCCGCCAAGGTGACCGCGTTAATAATCCATACACGAAGACCAATCTTATGTCGCAAAATGAGGGGACGTACCAGGGCCACCATCATGCCCAACTGCACCACATGAAAATCTAGCAATTCAGGATCAATGCCATAGCTCCGATGTTGAGCAAAGAACAGGGAGCCACTGACTATGCACACAAGACTTATCCACAGGAAAAACTTGACTGATGGCTTCCGGAACAAACGATGATTGTGTAGGAAAACCGATAGTCCATATAGCTCAGCCAAATGCCTGTATTTAAATGTCATTAAAATGATTAGAACTGCCGGCAGCACTGTTGAGATGACGTTCATGAGAGGTGCCTTAAGCAAGTCGCCTTTAGCTGCACGTTCAGCTTGAGCCATTATTAGCAAACAAGTTGGTAACAAAAGACAGACGGATGTGAAGAATGGCACCTTTTGCAAGATCAACAGAACTACTTGAATGATTCCGAGGGCAGACAGCAAGACCGTGGATAAGGTGGCAAATCCCTTTCGTTTATTCTCCGTGGCTATCCTTGTTAGTTGCAGAAGTAGGCAGTATATCCATACCAAGTAGGAGATCGTAGTGGCCACCAGGAGAGGAGTTTGGTAATATCCCTGGTAGTATTTCAAGCACTTTTGAGCCAATTTTATAATTCTTTGAGACTCTTCCATGGCCTCTTGACTGCGTCCCTGAGAAACCAAGGACTTGAAGTTGTCCTTGTAGGCAGCAATTTGCTTCAAGTCCAGCCCCTTGAATGTGGGCAGCCATTTGTAAAAAAGAGCGCGTTTATTACGGCTAATTACGATCTCGGCCTGATCCAGGATCTGCAGGGCGTTTAGATGGAAAGCCATAGTTTCGTACTCGATGCTCACATTGAGGTATCCCACTGGCATCATGGCTATGTTATTCATTGGAGGTGGAAGACCTATAAGTGCCGACATTAGGGGCGCCAGCTGAATCTGTTTCACCACAGATATATTGTTCTTGGTGGGAAATCCGGCATCCGGACCGACTGTTCGTTTCACACCGGCACCCCACATAAACAAAGGCGTTTCGGTTTCATGAAGTAAAGAACTGCCGTGAATTCCTACAAAATAAAAGGTTTACAAACTTTGGTACGCATTTCGAATTGGATTTGGATAATTTTAGAATCAATGCCCCCTAATGGGTAAACCTAGATTTGATAAATGGGATTGGATATAGTAGTACATACCATAATCCGACATTCCATGATCGGCGGTCATCAGAAAGGACGTTCGACTGTCATTAAATACTTGCTCAAATAGTTTGTAGGTCGTAAGAATGCCTTTCTGAGTGTGCAGGAGCTGCTGGTCGAACTCTGGGCTCAATGGCGTGTAGCGATGTGCCCATGCATCCATATCCGCCAAGTAGACAAAGAACACCACTTCCTTGAGACTGCGCACTTCCCGGACATTGTCGCTCCTGGACAGGAATTCTTTTACCTGCTTAAAGACCCACTCATCGAACTGCAAATCATTATTATATCCCAACTTGAATCGAAGCGGCGCTCCTCCGTGCGGTAGATCTTTAAAGACATTGTCCACCATTTCATGGATCCAGCCAATGGCCGTGCGACTGCGGTTAAAGACGGTATCATAGTAGACGGGAACGTAGAGAAAATTCACCACCGCAGCCGAAGGATCTTGCTTCAAGCCACCGAAGATGGCGATGTGTCCAGTGGTAGTCTGTGTAGGTGGCAAAGCGCGGGAGAGTGCTATACGACCCTGCGTCCGGTAAAAGTCACGTAGATCCGGAACCGCACTTCCGTTCCTCGCAAAAAAGGAAGCGGCCCTCAAGCCATCGGTCAGGAATACAACCAAACGATCTGCTGGCGGCTCAAAGCCCATCTCACGCATTGTCTTCTGGGGCACGAGTCCTGATAAGATGGTAGATGAGAAGTATGTGGTCATTATGGAGGCCAGCAAGAGAAGGTGAACTACCAGAGCCCGCAGTCTCCACATTTTGTGCAGCAGAAAATTACATGTGTTATAATTTGTTTCTGTTTTGTGTTAAGTGTAAAGGTCTGACAATTATAATTATGTGATTTTGATATTAGTGTCAAAATCCTTCACTAATATTTTGAACTCCGGAAAAGATTGGTATAGTTCTTATAACAGTTGGCAGAGTAGATTGCAGAAATTAAAATTTAATTTGTTTTGATAAGGACTGTATGTGATATGTATGATATGTAATTTATTAACTTTCAAGCTTGTACGTCTTTAAACACTAACCAAATATATATTATATTGTCAACGAAGAATTTCGTTTTGACCAAGATTTATTCCCTTGAATTGTTGACAATAAGGAAATTAACTGAAATGTCGTTGTAGTATCATAATCATCATCTGGTCTCGGCCTTGTTTCGTCTTACTATCCAGCTTGTCTAGGACTGTTTTTATGGATGCCATAACTCTGCGGCCTTGTCAAGCAATTTCAATTTGCCGCTTGATTTGCGAGCTGGCGCCTGGTCCGCGTTGCCTTGGGCACCAAATGCTGCACGTTGCCGCTTTGATTTACGCGCCTGCAATTTAAATGAGCTGCAAATTGCAGCAAACGAGTGTCCCGAAGCCAACCCATTTAAGTCTTTAAGGCCTTTGTCAATCTCGTGAGTCGGGTTAATTAATTGCGCGGCATAAATTTGCGTGTCTGTGAAATTTGTCCTGGGCATTTTCGGCGCCTGATTAATTCGAGCAGACATTTCAGGTGCTCTTAACGTTCCTTTTCCCAGCGAAGCTCATAATCTGACAAATTCCAAGCTAGCTTTCGAGTGCTATTTTGAATGAATTTTGAAAATGGGTTGAAGGCGAGCCGCCTGCCATTTGTCAGGGCCCTGCAAAGTTAGTTGTCCGCAGACAATTGTAAGCCGGATGACTGAATGGCCGGCTAAACGGGCTTGTCGGGCAATTAAAGGACCTGTTTTGCGTCTGACGATGGGCTAATTCAATGGCGAACAAGAGTTAGGCGTTTTAACGGCCACCAGTCGCGTGTTTTCAGCGATTGGGAAACGCCATTGAGTAATTGGGCAGAAGAGCAGCATTCGAACTCTCTTCGAGCCATAGCGGAAAGCGCAGGCGCGCTCTTAGCCGCTCTGTTGGCCAACAACTCGGCTCTGGGTCAGCAACATGTTGGTCTTGGCCCTATCTCTGTGACCCAAAGTGGGTTATTTTGGCCGGCGTAAAGTGTAGGTAAGTGGGTCGTCGGGCTGCCCGAAGGCCCGATGGTGGCCGCAAATTAAACGAATTGTGGCGCTGCATTTGGCAACATTTGTTGCCACATTGACCAGCAGCTGGAGCACTGGCCACCAGCCACCAGCCACCATCCTCTGGCAGCACAGCAGCCATCATCAGGAAACGAATAAAATGCCAAATGTTTGCGGCCTGGGGCTGTTGAACTCGGCCGTCTCTCAATTGAGGGATTTCGGCTTAGGCCTGGCCAAGTCGATTGCTCTTCACATTGCAGCATTGCCCCGAGTGGTTGGCCAATGAATAAGGTATTAATACAGGTAAATATTGACTTGTCAGATGCACAGGGAAAAAATTTATGATAGGATACTATGAGGTTATATTTACAACTTATATTTGTTAACTGAAAATGGGAATAAACTTGAAGATAATACAGTTTGCCTTAACATATATTTATTTATTTATTTTTATGAACATTATTCAAGTTGATATGTTGAAAGTTTCATTAAGAAAATTATTATTTTAATATTAAATCACAATTTTTCTCTCTGTGAGCATAACTCAAACGCACAGGCACTTGAACATGTCAGCAAAAAATTGATAATTGCTTTGCCCAGTACTTCAAAAGCAATATCAAGCAAATCAATTACGCCAGCTCGCTCTCGTTATTCCCATGGTTTGTCCCTCTGTGTGCGGAACTTACCCCATTTAAATTCAGCTGCGTTTTGTGTTGACAAAACTTATCAACAATTCAATTTCAATAAAAACTCGCGGCCCCCCTTCGCATATTGTTCGATGCATTTTTTAACGCGAAATATTAGGGTCTGTGTGGCAGCAGGTGCGCGCGAACATGGGGGGATCGTAGTGCGCTGCTCTCAAACAACTTCCCCTGAATTACTACGCCCCTGGGTTTGGGGTTTCTGCTGAATTTTGGCATTTGAATTGTCACATCTGGTTCATGGCTTCAAACTCATCCATCAAATGCAGCCGGGCTGCTGCTGCTCCAGCTTCACTATGGCTTCCATTTCCATGGCTTCCCCTTGTCAGCGCTTGCCAATGCAATCATTTTTATTGTATGTGTGTGCTCTGTGCTGTGTATGTATTTGTGTGCCATTCGGTGTAGTTGTGCCTGTGAAATAGCGCGCATAACCACAGCGACAAAACCAATACACGCCCATAGGCAAGCCTCCATTTTCTTTTTTTTCTTCTTACTCTCTTGCATTCGCCTAACGAGCGCCTGACAACGCGATTTTGTATGCGTGCCATCTGTGAGTGAGTTTGTGTGTGTGGGTGTGTGTGTGTGTGTGTGGCCATTGAAAGGCAAACACACAATACGAATATAATTTACGAGTCCGACTGAAATTCAGCCTTTTAATAGCTGGCCTTTTGTCATGCAACCGCCATGCACTAGACGGCTGCCTATTTCTTGTATTTACTACGATTAGTGGATTCATCCCTCGGACCTACCAAGAAGGAAAATTTATTAAACACTAACTAAACTCCCTGCCACTTGTTACTTCTTCACTTCTTACACTTTTGTAATAATCCAATGAACTCCTCCGCTCACTATTGCATAAGTTGCTACACTACAGTAATTTGCAATAATAAATTCAGTCAAAATGGAAAAAAAAACTACGATTAGTTATTTATAAAGGATGTCGTGTGGAAATGCAAACTATAGGTAATGTTCAATAGATTAGATTGTCTAAATATACCTAAAACTAAGGTGTGATTATCTAAAACGATGATCTTAAAGTTAATGTAAGATTGCCAAGATCATAAAGAGCGAAATCTCAAAAAAATTACGTATACGTACAGGTGATTTCGATATTAAAGTAAATAATAATATTTATACATCTATACTTGAAACTTAGGTTCGATTAAATAAAACGATGATCCTAAGATCAATGTAGTTTCTAAACTCATAAAGAAATTTTGTATGACAATTATTAGAAAAGTCCCAAAAAAAAATTACGTATACGCAATGGTGAACTTAGTATTCATGTAAATATTAATATTTATATATATTCAAAACTTATGTGTAGATATCTAAAACGATGATCTTCAGATCAACATTAGTTTTTCACAACAACGTATAGCAAAAGACTGAAAAATTAAGTATACGCAATGGTGAACTTAATATTCAAGTAAATTATAATTATTAAATATACTTCAAACTTATGGATGATTATCTAAAACTATGATTTTAAGATCAATATTAGTTTTTTATAACAACTTATAGCAAAATCCAGACAAATTACGTATACGCACTTGTGAATTTAGTATTCATTATTATTCATCATTTTTAAAATTAAATATTTTTAAAACTTAGGGGTAATTATTTCTAACTATGGCCTTAAGCTCAATGTAAGATTATTAAACATATAAACATATTTTTATGTCAACTCATAGCAAAGTCTCAACAAATTACGTATACGCACTGGTGAATTTTGTTTTCAAGTAAATACGATATTAAAGAAAAATCTTGTAAACTTCCATAAATATTTAATTATAAGAAGGTAGACAACAATTAATTTGTATATGCATGTTCTAATTATTCAAGTTCATGTTCAACTTTAAAACATTTCTAAATCGTTAATAATATTTATATTTTAGGGTTTATGTGTATTTGTTAAAATCAACAACGATGCTGAATAAGAATATATACACTTCTTAGGATCACAAATGACTTTGCAAGGGTATTAAAATTGATTTGTTAAAATAGCTTTTCCCCTTTTTCTAGCTTCCGTCATTGAACCAAAATGTTTTTACCAACAAGTTTCCATTGGGCATTCAAAAAGAGCAGGTTAAATAAGGGAAACAAAGTGAATAGGTTGGAAAACCCTTTGGTTCATATTGCCAATTTTCCAATTTGCACAATCCGAACTGAAGCACTTTGCTGCTTGTGTTCTTTGTGATCGTGTGCATCGATTTAGCCATTATTCTAACATGGTCTTAACAATCCAACGACGAGACAGGAGGAAGCAGTTACATAACTATCGTAATCGTCTCGTTGAGGCCAGAAGTAGAAGCTTACTTGACACTCGGCCCTCAAGTAGGTCAACAATTCGGTGATTTTTGGGGAAAACAAAGGCCAGACCCTGAAGACAGGATGGGCAGGCTTTAAAGTTTAAATCCATAAAAGACAGCCGGCAGCCGCAGTGCGAACTGCATTGGGCGGAGGCTCGTTTTGGGAGGTGGCTTTGGTTTTTCAATAAAGCAGATTTATGCATTGTGTTATGCAGAATTAAATGCGCTTTTGTTGCAGAAACACAAACACACCGAGATTGAATGAGAGGGGATGGAATCAGTTGCGGGGGCCATACAAATTGTTGAACAAAAATTTTAGCAGCGCACAGAAGTATGCAACACTCAATTGGATTTAATTGCTGTATGTGCGCAGTGCAACAACGCAGCCGGAATAACACGTTATTATGTTGAAAATTCTGTGCCTTTTTCGGGAATTCATTCACTCGCTTGTATAAGCGAGTTAAAAATTAAATACAATATTTTTACAGGCTCATAGATTGTGGCCCGATTTATGAACTCTATGAATTTCAATTTATTATGTATACATATGCATTATATTAATTACGATACGGCGCGTGTTGTGTGTGTGTCTCCGCTCTGTGTGCGAGTTAATTATTTAGTTTGTTGTGCTGCACGAGCGCCGGCTTCGTTGCAAATTTAATTGGTTACTTCGCATAAACAAGTTGCGAAAGTTTTCCCCCCCAAAAATGTCTCTCCTTTGCCAGACTTCGTCCTCGTCTCTCTTGCCACTTTTGCTCAGGAGCTTGTCAAGCCTTTGAGCTGCAAAATTAAATAGCAAAGCAAAGTGCATTGCTAGCTTTTTATATTCCTTTTTCCCTTTT